ACTAAGTGTGGATCAAACAAAGAAACCAGCCACTTGTGCCCAATGATCCAAATTCGATTCTCCGTTATTCCTAAGCCTTTGATCCTGATTTGGACTATCCTCTACTACCTGGATCCACATACCTTCCTTCCCAGCAGCCGCTTATCTTCGGATCTTGATGTGTACCCAACCTTGTTTACTTGATCCTGATTGGTCCGCAGCAATCATGTCCGGATCAGGTATAATCATATCCAAATCAGGTGCTATAATTAGGTTCTTCCAGATAGGCCCAATCACCCCAGAATCAGTTGATCTGAGTCCATCATATCTTCTCAGATCTGGATCCACGGTAGTCACTGCAGATTCAGGCATACCTGTCACTTCACTTGACCCGATCACTTCCCGTCTGTAATTTCCCGGAATCCACTTCACCGCAATCGCCCTCCTGTCCGTAGTCGTTGCTGCCCAACAAGTTTACTGCAGACACTATTCCTTGTTCGTCACTCGTCGCAGATCTACACTCCAACACCTTGACACTTGTCATTTGTCATTTGATCCATAATTTCCCAGATAATATAGCTCTAGATCCACACTCGGACTTCACTTTTGCTCGCCCCATGTCAACCTCTGAATCTAGCTCTTTCCACATAGATTCTTAATCGGCACATCGTCATATCCAATGTTATGCAAACCCTGTCCTCCGATCTGCAACCTCCTTGCAGATCTATCAACCTTCTGCCACACCGATGACCAGCTCACCAGTATGGATCCAGATCTCACGGTTCTTCGTGAGATTGCATCACACCAAACCGGTTGCGATTAGTGCGATCTCCTGGAACTCATAACGAAGAGCGCTGCAATTGAGATCTGCTTCATCTACCCACGTCGGACCTTCATATCCGCGCCAATGTACCAAGAATTCTCGAAAGACCCGTCCATATCTAGTCCTCTTGCCAGTTCTCAAATCGGAAATCCGATCCACTGTTTATTCATCTGGGTCTCGCTCTTAGATCCAACTATCTTCGGGTAGGCGAGCTTCATCAAAGTCAACCCGATCTGTATCCGCCTCCTCTAGGCAACCTACAGGTCGATCCGGAAATATCTTGACCGGTTTGATCTTCGAGACATGCACCACCGGAAAGATGCTGTACGTTGATCCTCTAATTTCAAACCTCACTGCATATCCTCCGATCTTCTCAGCAATGCGAAATGGCCCATGCCATAGGTGCGCCAGTTTCTTCGCATATCCTTCGCGCACTCAATCTAGATATAACCAGATTCTTGATCAAGCCTCCACAGGATGTGGACGTATCAGATCATTATGCGCGCCGGCTCGATCCGCGATGGCTTCGCATAATCGTTGATTAACTTGTTCTCGAGCCTGTTGGTAATATTTTTGCATCCGATATCGCCACCTTCTCGGATCTCTATCGTGCCTGCGAGTGCACCCCACCGGGATCACCGCTTCCAGAGTGGATCTAGGATCCCAGCCATGTACCATGTAGAAAGGGGTTTCACCTCGGATCCGATCCCTTGCGGTGTTGATCGCGAAGGTGAGCCGTTAGGCGTATTCATCCCAATCACGTTGATCCAGATCCTGCACATACATCTTAAGAGCCCTGGTGGCCGTCTGGACCATATGCTCTGCGGATCAATTAGCTTGGGGTCGTTAAGTCATAGTACCACGTTGGTGTTGACCCAAGATCTTGTTGAAGGACTTAAAGAAGTCAGACATAAAACCTGGCACTCGATCATGCCGAATCACCTCGCTCGCACCAAATCTGCGGAAAACGCATTCTTCGTAAGTCTCAGCAATCGTTTGTGCAGATCTAGAGGCGCTGGCTTTGACGATCACATATCCAGAGAATAGATCCACGAAGAGCAACAGCTCTGTGTTACCATTGAAAGATCTAGGCAGCGAAGGTATGTGATCCGTGGCAATGATCTGGAACGGGTATGTTGCCTAACGGTTACCAGGTGACTCACCCTGGATCCGAGGTCGTCCTTTGCCTGTTTCACAATCAACACATTCTACCACATATCACTGTACACTCTTATACAACCCACTCCAGTGGAAATGATCGCGGATCCGATCATAGGTACGACCGATTCCTTGATGGCCGCCTTGCAAACTCGCGTGGTAGTGATGCAAAATGTCCTGTTGAAGCGTCTCAGACACCACCAATCGCATCATCTTGTCTCGATCCGCGGCGGCCTCCTTAGTCGTCGGACAGTAGAAGAGTAGATCCGACTGATCCACTTCATAATTCATGGCAATAGATCCAAACACCTCTGCATCTTCTTGTGTCAGATCTCGGAGCTCTCCAACGAAATACTTCTTCAATCCTGAGATCCACGACTCCTCATCTTGTGCTTGCCGGATCCGCTCGATCCGCAGTTCTCTCACAACTTCCTCGCGCAATGAATCTGGATCAGACCCAATACGCGTTCCAGATCTAGCATTAGATCGGGTCGTTACAGTAGATATCTGGGCAATCTCGTCTTCGATCTTCACTATCAGGATCTCATCCAACCGGTTCAAGGTCACTAGATCCTGGATCTCCGCTTCCGTCTCGACATCGATCCCACATTGTCGTTGTAGTGTAAGCTGTCGGCACTCCCATTCCAATCTCGGTTAACATGCAATAGGTCATGCTCAGGCCAAACACGTAGTCGATCAAGACCTCGCTGGCGTAGCAATGTCAAACCTGGTGCTTTACAATCGATCTCCTCTCGTATATGTCGGATCACCAGGTTCGAGCCTCCGCACATCACTAGACGTCGCGGATCTAGATCCTCCAACAGATCCAGACACAGGAACAGTCCATGGTATTCCATCTCGTTCACCGTCAAGCCTTCGGCTTATCCAGATCTAGCCTTTAACACTCTCCATTCAGGCAATTTCCACAAGATCGAGCTGTAGGCGCCTCCACCTCTCTTGACACGAACAGATCCATCGAAACTAACGGCGTATAAGATCCTCATCGAGTCTAATTGTGGGGGTCGGAGCCTGGATCTTGCGTCTTGGCTCCTTTCTAGGGACAATCGAGATTAACGCCTTATCCACCTGTGATCTAGGCGTGATACTCGCCGCCAATGCTCTCAGGATTTTCATCTTCACCCTTGACACACTTGATGATCTCGAGAGTCCATGACGACAGTAGAGCAGCCCACTGACCTAACCTTCCCTGCAAGGCTATAGATCTGAAGAGCCACGCCAAAGTAGAATGTCGGGTTAACACACGGATCGGGCGTCCGACCAAGGCATTGTAGTTAAGATCTAGGATCCGCAGCAAGGCTAGTACCTCCTTCTCCGCAATACCATAGTTCAGCTCATTTGACTTCAAGGTACGGCTCCCAAGCATCACGGGATAGTAGATCTTGTCATATTCCTGCATCAACGATCCTGAAATGGCTCAGTCAATAGCATACACCACAACCGTAGCACTTCGACGGGGATCAAAGTGTCATAAGATCGGAGTAGTGGTGATCTTGGACTTAAGCACGCTGAAGGATCTATAGGCGTAGATCCATCGTGGATCCACTCCGGTGAGGTCTTACGCCTCCAGATCCAAAACCTTTTGGTAGTCGATTATTTGACCTTCGTGTGATCCTGGATCCACATTCTCCGCTTCCAGTACTTGTTGGATCTGTGCTTGGGTGGTCTCTTTCATCATCGCAGCAAAGTCGATTTCTCGTAATTCATACAGGATTGACGCATAGATCGCATAGTCTTCGATGAACCGGCTGTAATAGTTCAAACTCCCCAAAAATGACTGCATGGCTCTGAGTGATCCTTTGAAATGGTAGATCACTCAGTGCCGACAGATCTTTCGGGTTCGTCTCCAGTCCATTGTGAGAGACCTTACGACCCAGATATTCCACCTTAGGCATTCCCCAGAAACACTTAACCACACGGATCGACAGATTCCACTTATCGCACGCTTCGAGTAGACCTTCGACTCGATCACATAGTTGACCTCAGTTATTGGCTGGGATCAGGATGTTGGCGATGTATGATCTACGACCAAGCACTGATGGCTTGCCTGGATCCACCGGTCCCCCGTCCTCAAACACATCCAAACTACCTCCGTGATCTCCAGACTTCGGGACCCGGGTGAATCGATATAGCGCATTATCGATCATACGTTGATAGATCTGGGGCGCATTCTTCAAGCCGAAGGGCATTCGATTCCACTCAAATAGTCCAAAGGGAGTGATAAAAGCCGAGATCAAACGAGCACGATCCGTCATTTTCACTACCCAAAATCCACTCGCCATATCCAACGAGCAGTACCAGAGCGTCGACTCCAGATCTTCAAGTAAGTCGTTGATCAAGGGCATTATCAGCCGAGTTTAACTGTTGACCAACCGGTAATCGATGCCCAACCTGATATTCATTCCATTCTTCTTGATGATCACCACGATCGGGGAAGCCCACGGTGATCTAGAATAATTGATCATCTTGGCAGATAATAGACCCTTGATCAAGTCCGCCAGCTTCTCCCTAAACCGGATCCGCAACTTACGACACTTCTGGGCGATTGGCCTTGCTCCTCCGAGATCGATGTCTCATACAAACACCTCGGGCGGCCGGCGGGAGAGCATTTCCTTTGCCGATCAAGAGATGTCGGAACTTCCAGATCCTTTATCGAAGTCGATCAATTTCTTCTGGGGTCTGATTGTCAGATCCACATAGCTGAATGTCCTCGATCTTCACTTCTTCCGTCGTCACAGGCACTTCTGGCAGTACCGCCATCGGAACGTCGACATCTTCCGCGTACAGATCACTTCATTATGGTAGTATACGCATTCATCATAATCTTGATCTGAGTCCCAGGTGAGGTCCAGATCCGACGCGCCTGGTTGATCTTCAACAACAGGTGATGGATCCATGTCCGTTTTTTGCGGCATAGATGCGCCGCACTTGTCGTTCAACGGATCACTGGCCACATGTCCCGTCCCAGATTGTACACTCATCATTGATGACAGATCAGATCATTTTCGACGGTAAAGTTCCTTGATCCTAACCTCTCGAATGTAGTTTATCCTGGTTGGCGACCCCCATTCCATCTCGACCTTCTTCTTCTCGCGCTTCTACTGCACTTGTAGTTTCTTCCAACGACGGATCAGTTACCCACACGTCTGGCGTTACTTGACCGATATCTTCTAGCGTCTCCTTGACCGTTATGGCATGCGATATAGAGTCTCCATCTACGATAGCCGACAGATCTGAGTCCTCATTTGCGACAGACGCTAGATCCAACGGTCGAATCTCCGACGGCGATTTGTCCGACGGCGATCTGTCCGAAGGTAGGCAGTCAGGAATACCTTGATCCTGCCTCGCCTCGACCTTCCGACACAGGTTCGACGTCGTCTTCGGTGTCTAGAGTATTGCGCGCGGCGTTTGTACTCGGATCGCTCCACCGCGGGTACGAGCGGGATCTTGATCTCCATTTCTTCGGATCGAGTATCTGTCGTGGCTTCCAACGTTAGATTCTGCCACTCCATGTAACGACGAGAGCCAATCGAGATGAAACCTGATATTCGTGGTACATGGTCTCCGGCCAGCCAGATCCCGATCCGTTGGTCTTGATGCAGGATCAACACCTCGTCCCCGATGTTGGTGATCGATATATACCTTGACCCCCTGGTCCATCGGATATTGTCGGCACCCATCGATCCCCACGTGTGACCCACAACTTGTCGTGGATCGACGATCTCAGGCGCAATGGCAGTTCCACCGACTCTCCTGCTTGGATCCGAAGGTATTGGCCGACATTTACGATCTTTGCCTTGTCGCTATAAAGCTGCCGTCTCCCGCTAAGCTGGATCCGGACTTTATCTGGCAGACTGATCGATCCATGAGCTAGTCCAGGCGGATCCCGGCTGGAACCATGAAATCCATACCAAGTATAGCTTGTTGGCCAGTCAGATCACCCGCCCAGATATCGAAGAAACATACCAGTGATCCAGCCAGAGTCACCTCGATTCGGGTTCTTCCTTCCGTCCGGTACACACTGTCACCAATTCACACACAGTCTTGGATCTGACTCGAGTCGATATAACACCCAACCTTACGAGCAAAGGCGGCGTCCACGATGGACACCTCGGCGCCGGTATCTAAGCGTAAGATCGCCTTCTCATTGTGGATCTTGCCTGTGATCTTCGCTTGACGAAACCATTTTCCTGGCGAATGATGCTTTCAGTAACCACGAGGCTCTCCCGGTAGTAGATCCATGGTTGTTGACCGTCAGTACTCCGAGATCTTGCTAGGCCTCTTGATCTCCGAAGTAACCTCGTGATCTGTAGGTTTAAACCATAGATCTGGATCTTGCTGTCTCCTATAACCTCGTGACTCTCCGGGTTGGAGGTTCACACCCATGGTGACTTCAGATCTGGCGTACCCATCGACTTGGCGAAGACTTGACATTGCGTAGGTATGTTTCCCATGCATATCACATGTATTACCGTGTAGATCTGGTCGTTTACTAACCTGATCTACCGATGTCTTGTTCACAAATGCATAGTTGCAGTATCTAGAATGCTCGGCTCGTGTCGGATTCCACCCCGATGAGCGTCCTAGTTTAACATCCTTTCAGCAGCTTCGGGTAACATACCCATGTGCTTCGTGGGGTTAAACCACTGGCAGATCTGGTTTAAGAACTCTTCCATCGGGCATTTTCCCATGTCATGCAATTCTCCACATCCGCGACACACGAAGAGGCAGTGATCCGAGGGATGTCCCCTCTTGCCGCACTTCGTGCATGTAACACGCCTCCAGCAACCGAGATCCGAGTGCTTTCTGGATCCGCAGTGTGAACATCGATCGCGGTTAACACCATTCCTGTGGATTCTTGAGTTGTGATCTTGGTGGCCATGATCCCGGTCCGGCAGTCGTGGATCCAGGTTTGTCGACTCTTTCTCCACCTTTGGGGTGACGTCTTCGTTCGCTGCAAGGAAGATCCTGCGATGACTGTCGATGTCAGAGTCGGATCCACCCGATCCGTCAGATTCGCTGTCGGATCCAGTGTCGTTAGCTTGGATCTGGATCGCGCGTACTTGTTTTGCTGGAGCTGAAGGGGTAGTGTTGGTTGGCTTCTGCCGGTACTGGCTGGCTTCAAACGCAGCTTTCTTCTGACGATTCTTTGCTCGATCCCGAGCGCGAAGGACTTCTTCGAGATCATCCGCTTCGGTCAACCGTAGCAGGATTAACCATTCCGCTAGCTCTTGATCCTCAAGCGTCTCAATGTAATGATCCACATGTTCACGTCGATCTTTCGCGCTGCCATCCTTGATCTTCAGCCGCGCACGGAGTCCCGCCACGTTGAGCCGATACAGGTAGTCCAGTGGCGAGTCGTCGGATCTACGTCGCGTATGGTAGTATTGTCTTGCTACCGATACTCCAAGTCCGCAGTACTGGATCCGGAAGCTGCGTAGTAGATCACTCCATTTGTTGCGAGTGGATCTACTCAGCTGGCGATACCAGTTCTTCGCGGATCCAGCAAAAAGATCTGCGAAGGTCAAGCACTTTTTGTCATCCGATGCTTGATCCCGCCTGGACGCGGACTTGACTTTGCTGATCCACGCTCGCGCTCGATCTTCATCTTGATCCTTGCCAGTGAACTCTTTGAGATCTGAGATCGCCGAGATCCGGACTCGTTGGATCAGGGTGAATCCACTGGATCCGAAGGCGGCAGTGGCCACAGCCGCTAGGGCGGGTGGCGGGAAGTCGATGTCATCCGGATCGTATTCCCAATTGGATCCGCGATCCGATGATCGGATCGACTCCATCTCAACGTCCCGTGATCCGGTATTCTGAGGTTCTGTAACGACTGGATCCGCACTGCCGCTTGTTATTCAGCTAGGAACCAATCAATCGCGACGTAGAAGAACTTCTGCAGCGTTCCAGCTGACCGATCCGATCCCGAACTGATTGTGGCTTGATCAGTCGGTGTTGATCCCTTAGGCTGACTGCCATATCTGGCTGGGCTTGGACGCCGGATCTTGGATCTCGCCTCCATCATTGCCGCGCCTAAAGGTCTCAGCGACATACGCCGGGGCTCCGATGAGGTGTCAGATCTGTCCTCTGCAGTCGATGCATAGTGTGATGACACCGTCAGGTTGTCCACTGCGTCGATCTGGGGTGATGCTACCGGATCCGCGATCTGGGGAACTTTGCCAACCAGGATCTTCAGCTTTTCAAAGAAATCTCATCTTGTGGCTTGTATCACGGTCAGATCCAGATCGAACAGATCATCTGTCTCGAAGGATCCGGGGGTCATGCCGGCTTCCTTCAGCAGCCTGATTAGGATCGTTACTGCGTCGAGGTTGTTGGTTACTATCGCTGGGGCAGTTACTGGATTCTTTGGTTCCGCGGTCCGCTTCAGCTTCAGGATCTTCATCACTGGATCTTGACGTACGAAATCACGCAGCTCCTTTCGGTGGTACAAATACTTCAGATCTTCGACGGACCATCCGGATCCGGATCCGTCTTGATCTCCATCATCCTCGTACTCAGGAGCTTTCATCTTCTTCCACGAAGCCTTGGATCTTGGCTTTCCGACTTCGGATCCAAAGACTTGCGGATCCTTGGGAATATATAGTGTCGGCTTATCCGGATCAATAAATGAATGCGGTTCAGCCTTCACCTTTATTGGTTTTGTTAGCGGATCTTGGCGCGAGTCTGGATCCGCCGGGATCTCCATGTCGGAGACCTGTGGAGGGTGGGGTTTCTCATCCAGATCTGGATTGGGATCCAGATCATCCTCATTTCCGTAGACAGAGTATCTCCAGGCACTCTGCCGATCCGCGGATCAAGCGTTCAGCGATGTCGTCGTCGATCTGGCATCCGACGACATCTCGTTCCCTTGTTCAGTCTTCACTTGAACTTCTTCATGAAACTCACAGTGAAATCCGGAGTCACCAGAAGATCCGGGCATGGGCACCATTATGGTGGAGCGGGATCAGCAAAATTCTTGAGAATGCTGGATCCGGCTTGCCATTGTGCCCAGGACACCGACTATAGGAGGGGTACTCCTGTTGATCCGTGATCAGCTGAACTTCCTCACCTTGTGTACCCGTCGGTATGGCTGGATCTAGCTCCTCCGGTAACTGCAGGAGAGCGAAGTGCTGAAGATCTCGAATGTCTTGGCGAGACGCAGGGATGTGGGTAACAGCGCGGAAAGTCTTCGCTCTACTGTGAGGTAAGTTGATCCGGGGTCCACGTGAACAGTCGCACGTGGATCACCAGTGGCGGATCTGGATCCGGCCGTTAAGTTGTCTTGGTGTGTTGGTAGTCGTTGATCTCGCGACCCCTTTGAGTTGCTTGCAGTCTCCTATGACTGGATCATGGGGGAGTTGAGAGATCGATGGATCTTCACAGCCAAGCACTAAATGCTGTGGATCCGGAGCTTGCACGTATAGAACAAGTATTAGGTAGTGTTATATCTGGCCAATATATTATCCAGTTATCCAAACTACACTAAATTCAATATTCCTGATACGAGATCACCTTATATAACCAGTATATGTCTTGATCCGAGGTGCCCGTAATGCACTAAGTGTGGATCAAACAAAGAAACCAGCCACTTATGCCCAATGATCCAAATTCGAATCTCCGTTATTCCTATGCTTTGATCCTGATTTGGCCTATCCTCTACTACCTAGATCCACATACCTTCCTTCCCAGCAGCCGTTTATCTTCGGATCTTGATGTGTACCCAACCTTGTTTACTTGATCCTGATTGGTCCGGTGCAATCATGTCCGGATCACTTATAATCATATCCAAATCAGGTGCCTATAATTAGGTTCTTCCAGATAGGTCCAATCACCCCAGAATCAGTTGATCTGAGTTTATCATACCTTCTCAGATCTGGATCCACGGTAGTCACTGCAGATTCAGGCATGCCTGTCAATCCACTTGACCCGATTACTTCCCGTCTGTAATTTCCTGGAATCCACTTCACCGAATAATGGC